AAAAAGGAAGGAGTTGAGATTGTGAATATGTTGACTTTAACATGTGCCCCAGGAACCAGCTAGGAAGTAGTTAGATGCACCACCTAAAAGACAGACAAGAAATCAAGGAGGGAGATGCTGGTCAGGCAGCTGTTAACATACAGTGAACCCTTGGTGAATGTGTGAAATGGGAAGAGAACAGGGCCACCAACAGAACCCTGGGGTTGCTAATATCAGGTGCACCAGAGGGAGAAGGACCTACCTGGTTTCCCCGTGCAGGGTGTCTGTGCCTTTGGGCAGGTTTCTTGCCTCCTCTCTACCCAGCCTGTTTTCTCCCCATGATTTGCGTCCAGCCTGTGCATCATTTCTGCTGATGCTGTGGCCTCTCTGTCTGCCTCTTTAGGGATATTTTGGTTTCCATTTCTAAACAGCCTTATTCTCTCAGCATTTAAGGTTATATATATATATATATATATATATATATATATATAGGAAAAAAAAAACCTTTGGAAGAGAATTGAGTGGGCCCAGCTTATCATACAGAGTCACACTGTGGCACAAGTCACCAGATTCAGTTAGATGACTATCCTGAGACCAGGTGCCCACTATGATCCAATGGGCTGTTTCTCTATTTCAGGGACTAGGATGAATCCAGTCTGTTCCGGCTTTGAGGACAGGAGGGTTGACTTTACCTGCATTGTATTTGGGGAACACAGGATTATGTCAAAATGGAAAGATTATAGGTTCACCTCTCACTGATAGCCTCATGTGGTCCCGATGCTGTCTTGGGCAGGGGACCATCTTATTAGGAACTGAATTTTGGATCCAAACCACAGTATTTCAGTCCAGGGGGGCAAAACTCACATGACTATAGTCGTCTTCCTTTAGGCTGACTGGCAGTCTCTGTGGTCTTGTGTTGCTCAACATGAGAGTTGGTCACTGGGCTGTGTGGACCTTCCAGCCACTCATCCGTTTGAAGGCCACCCTCATGCATGAGGAGTCCCTGGGTCACAGTCACTGGCTCTGGAAGTCGAGTCTCGCCTTCTCTTAAAGAGAGACTCTGGGCAGGGCTACATCTGCAGGGTTGGCAGAGCTGAGGAAGTGCCAGCATTACTACCTGGGGACCATCCTGGATAGTGAGAGAACTAGAAAGCACTGTCAAGTCTCCAAACTCCTATTGGGTTTCGTTATACACAGATAAGAATCTTTCACAAGATTGCGGTTTATGAGCCACAGTGCGATGGGCTCCAGGAGAGGCGGGAATCCACAAGAGCCAATGGGCTTCTCCAACTCAAATCCAATGAAGCCCAGCTTCAGTGGAAATGTTTCCTTGTGTGGGTTCAGGAGAAGCCATGAGGGTGGGTGGGCTGAGTGGTGACCTGCTGCCGCTCTCCTGAGGCCAACACCTAGGTAGTGGCCCCTGCCCACGTTCCCTGCTGGGGAACAGGCTGAAAGCAGATAGCACGGTATTCCTGCGCCACAATGGACTCTTGCCATTTACTGCTCACTGGACCCTTGCCAGGGCATTCTCAGCTGTGGCTGAGAGATGCCCCTCCTTGCGTAACTGGACAAAGCAAAACAGCCAGAACAATGCCCCAGACACCAAGAGGCTCCTGAACAGAAAGGGAGACAGGCACATACTTGACCTAATTATTGGGAGACCCAGAGGGCAACTGGCGTTGAACCTTCCAGTCTGCCCAGAAAGGACTTCGTGGTCATGTGAGATGCTTGGGGGCAGGTGAAGCTCTGAGCAGTGAGCTGTTCCTGCAGCTCTCACCTGCAGAACTGACCTGGATGAGGACGGAGGGAGCAGAAGACTGGAGATGATCCAGCAAACTGCGAGTCTAACCTCAGAATTACTCATCTTCTTCAAACCTGCCAGACTCTTTAAATACCTCTGTGACTTGGTGCGTGCTGCATTCTAACCCTGGAATGACTTCCTTTGCCTTCTCTAACTTGAAAAATCCAACATAATCTTCAGGGTCCTCATCTTTTTAAAGTCTCTGGAACTCCCCACATTGCATAAGCAGCCCTTTGTTATGCTTCTACACACCTTTGTGCTTGTGCTTTTGTTACATAACTTCTCAAATTGTATTCTACTCTTATGTAGGATAATATCCTGAAATAATATTTGGCTCAAAATTAGGCTCAGCCCTACAGTATGGGAGCAAGTTTTTACCACACACACATCTGATAGAGCACTAATCTCTGGATATACAAAGAACTCAAAAATCTTAACACCAAAAACCAAATAATCCAACCAATAAATGGGCCAAGGACCTGAACAGACACTTCTCAGAAGATGATATAAAATCAATCAGCAAATATATGAAACCATGTTCAACATCTCTAGCAATTAGAGAAATGCAAATCAAAACTACTCTTAAGATTTCATCTCTAGTCAGAATGGTAGTTATTAGAATACAAACAACAATAACTGTTGGTGAGGATGTGGGGAGAAAGACACACTCATAGACTGCTGGTGGGACTACAAATTGGTGCAGCCAATATGGAAAGCAGTATGGAGATTCCTTTGAAAGCTGGGAATGGAACCACCATTTGACCCAGCTATTCCACTCCTTGGTCTATACCCAAAGGACTTAAAAACTGCATACTACAGGGACACAGCCACATCAATGTTTATAGCAGCACAATTCACAATAGCTAAACTGTGGAACCAACCTAGATGCCCTTCAGTAGATGAATGGATAAAGAAAATGTGAGATACACACACACACACACACACACACACACACACACACACATACAATGGAATATTACTTAGCATTAAAGAGAAAATAAAACCATGGCACTTGCAGGTAAATGGATGGAGTTGGAAAATATAATGCTAAGTGAAGTAAGCCAATCCCAAAAATCCAAATGCTGAATGTCTTCTCTGACATAGGATGCTGATTCATAATGGGGATGGGGGCAGAGCATGGGAGGATTAGATGAACTCTAGATAGGGCAAAGGGGAGGGAGGGAAAGGGAGAGGGCATGGGGTAGGAAAGACGGTGGAATGAGACAGACATCATTACCCTAAGTACATGTATGAAAACACAAATGGTGTGACTCTACTTTGTGTACAACCAGAGACATGAAGAATTGAGCTTTATTTGTGTAATACGAATTGAATTGCATTTTAGTTGTCATATATAACAAATTAGAATAAATAAAATTAAAAAATTAAAAAATATTAGACTCAGCTGTATATAACAGCTTAAAGAAGATAAAAGCTTATTCTTTCTCCTATTTAAGGAGGTAAAAGCAATCAAGAGCTGGTATGGAAACTTTGTAATGACATCATGAATCCAGTTTCCTCCTTATCTTCTCTGCCAAACTCAGCTCAGAGCTTTTATTTTCAAGTTTGTCTTATGTCTACAATGACTGCTGTAGCTCCAGCCATCACTTCCATGCTCCAGAATGCAAGAAGGGGGAAGAAAAAGAATGAAATGTCTCTTTTCTTTTAAGGAGAGTTTCTGGAAATACTGCACAATAATTTTACTTCTATATTAGTCAGAACTCAGGTAGCCACATTTAGGGGCAAGCAACTAAAGAAATTATAGTCTTTATTATGACAACAATGTGTCAAAAATAAAAACTGTGCCATAAAGAGACTCCAGGCATGGTGGTACATGCCTATAATTCCCGCTACTCAGAAGACTGAGGCAGAAGGATCACAAGTTTGAGCCAGCCTCAGCAACTTAGCAAGACTCTGTCTCAGAATGAAAAAAAGGGCTGGGGATATAACTCAGTGGTAAAGTTCTCCTGGAATAAATTCCATCAACACACACACATATACAATATGAGAAGAAACTAGATTCTGAGAGGCAAATCGGAATCACACTATTCTGATGCAGTTTTTTTTTTCTTTTTTCTTTTTTGGTACTGAGCACATCCCTAGTCCTTTTTTTGTATCTTATTTAGAGACAGGGTCTCATGAGTCACTTACTGCCTCATTAAGTTGCTAAAGCTGGCTTTGAACTTGCGATCCTCTTGCCTCAGTCTCTCGAACCTCTGGGATTACAGGCGTGTACCACCATACCCGGCCCGATACAGATTTTGTTCTGGCAATTCTTGGTGCTAACCATTCCTCTGTCTGCTGAAGCTGAGCACTCTGCAGCTTTGGGAAGCAGTTAGAACCCAGGAGAAAACACAGATTACATATAATGGTTTAAAACTTGCAGTCATAATTTAAGTGTGCAGAAATTTTCCTTTCTTTATTTACTGAACTTGACTTGTCCACAAGCTCCTATTTCCATTAATGGCTAGAAAAAAAGAATATTATCAATTAAAAGTCATGCAGTCACTTGTATTTTAAAATTAAATCTCTTTGGGGTAAATATTCAGCTATGTTCTGGGCTCTTCCCGTTTTCTGCTTTCTCACCAGGAGGTGGTTTGGTTACCTGAGGGTCTTCCTGCGGTCCTCTCATTCTCTGGGATCTCCAATAATTAGAAAAAGAATATGTCAGTCTCCCTTTCTACCCAGGAGCCTCTTGGAATCTGGGATGTTCTTTTGACTGATCTGCTTTCTCCAGGGCCTACTGCAGAAGTTGGCGCAAGGAAATGGTTAAAAATGTGATGGATACATTTATGAGTATACTTTAGATGCATCCTATAATTAATTCAAATGGTACCATAATGATCTGGAAATCCTGTACAATTAAAAGTCTATTTCTCTAAAGCCCCTAGCACTATGTTTATAGCTTTCTTGTGGCCCTGGTAACCCTCTCCGTTCTAATGGCTGGTGCGTCTGCCTCACCCCTCATTAGAGTGTCTGCTGCTGAAGAATGTTCCTGAGCTGTGTAACTCTCACAGGTGCCGAAAAAGAGGGGGACATGGAAATGAATGACCACAGGAGCAGGTGCTGGTACTTGATATGTTACCGCTAATGAGTGACTCCCACCCGGGAAGAAACAGAAGATTTTATTGCAGCCATTTAGAAGGACATCAGTAAAGACAAGTTGACATCTTGCCTTTTGCTGAACTTTAACTTTTTAAAAATTGCTTTTGTTTTTCAGAAATCCTCCGCCTACCTTACTGCATCCAGAAAAATGGTGTGAGGAATTCAACCACTTTATTTCACAGTGAGTATTTCTTCTTCTGAACATTGCTTATTTAGCAAGGCCTTGGACAGTGATTGGGGAAATCCAAGCTGTGGAATTTACTGAGTGCTAGAAATGGCTATGCCTAAGAGCACGTTGGGATGTAGGATTTGTTCCAGTGAGTGACAGAGGATGCCTCTGCAGGATCTGAAAAATAAGGAGCTCCATTTGACTCGTTTAAAATCAGTCCCTTTGATCACATGGGTCACATCTATCTGAGAACCTGCTCTGTCATGAACCAAATATTATCACCATGTCATGTTCACTGAAGGAGGAGACTCAGCATCTAAAAATCTGATGTTCACTCTGGGACCAGGACCAGAGAGAAGACAGAGGTGACAGTCTCTAGCAAGTGTTGCTGCTTGGATGTTGGGCTTGGCTCTAGGATCTTGACCATCTAGTTTCCAAGATGATCGGGGGACAAAGTAGGAACTTGGGCCTGGGACAGCATAGTGAGTCTCTCCAATCCAGGCTCAGGTAATAGAGAGAGAACAGGATGAGAATTGATTCAATGGTGTGATATCAGCTATGCCACCAGGCAGGACTTCCTGAATCTAAGACACAGAACCTACAGTGACACCAGCAGGGTGACCCAATGCTGGGATCCTGGGCCTGGACTTAGAAGAGGACCACACTGGTTCCAAGTCTGCAGAAGATCCTAGGTCTGCTGAAGAGGTCCCAAGGTCCCAAGGTGGGGCCTGGTGAATCCTGGGCTAGGAATCTGAACAATCTACTGCAAGCCATGCACAGGTGCCCCCGCTGGGAAGAGGTGCCCCAGAGCCTAGTGTATTAAGCAAGCTCTTCAGAGGTCATGGAGGAGGACAGAAGTGACCAAATAACTGATAAACATGAAGTAGGGAAGGTCAACACACATTTTTCTCATTGATGCCGATGTGCAGACTTAGCTTCCATCAAGAATCTGGGCAACAAAACAAACTGGGTGTCTTAATCATCTTCCTTAATCACAGTGTAGGTCTGTAATCCCTTATCCACAATCCCCAAATCCAAAGAGCTCCGAGAAACCAAATCGCTTTCACAGTTGAGTCATTTAGCAGTAAAACCTGACCTTGTATGAACTGATTTGGTGGCAACACATGACCTGAACTGATGTGAGGCTATTTATAGTCATTATTTGTCTTACTTAGTGTGAATATTCATGTATTTTGCTGCAGATATATTAGTATTTGATTACAGTGTGCTGCCCCAGATCCTGCTGGGGGTGTTATGTAATATACAGTAAAATGTACCAGTTTACTTATCTAAAATTTGATAAAATTTATTTGGCCCCAAAGGGTTTGGATAAGAGCTGTGGACCTGTATTTAATTTTCATTCCAAATGCAATACAGATCAGGGTCCCTGAAATTGTTGATTGTCTAATCCCTCCTGGATTTATGCCACATTCCTCAGGAGAGGCGAGTGGAAAAGAACTCTACCAAGAGAGGCTCTGTGGGAATGTGACTGTGAAGGTCAAGGCCAGGGGTGGAGGACGTGCTCTTGTCCTCTAACCCCACTCTGACATTTTTGCTCTGACTGCAGAATGTACAGCCACAGTCAGGGTGGGAATGCCAGGCCAGGGTGGGAGGGACATCAGATACCTGCAGTGGGGATGATGCTCTCCAGGAGCAGAGGAAGGGCACCTTCCTGAGGTTTGGGAGCCACAAGAGGAAGAGGGAACAGAGAGCTGAGGATATGCCCTGGGCTTGGGGGCCACATTTTAGACCACCCCAGAGAAAGAAATCTGGGAGCTAAGGTTCCAGTGATTTTGTTGGCAAGGACCGATCCAAACATTTTTCCTTTTCATTCCGTTGCTGAACACAGATACCCTTGATTGACCTTCCTAAGGTGTTGGCCTAGAAAAATCCATTACCCATTCACTGATGCACCTTCTCATTCCAAGTTTTCCTGATGCTTCTAAAATGTGATTTGACTCATAGAAATTTGGCTTCCATATACTTTTTCAAGAGTAAGTTTGTGTTCTTAAAACAACCGTGATATTGCTTGGATGGATTTGACAATAAAAGTACATCATTGACGACAGGGTTGGGGGCTTTTAGGGCTATACACAACATAGAAATTCTTCCCCACCCTGACATTTCCTTGCGGCAAATCAATCTCCCTCTCCCTTTCCCTCTCTCCCTCCCCACTGCCCCCTCCCCACTCTTTCTCTCCTGTAGTATGGGGACTGAATTCAGGGGCACTCTAACACTGAGGTACATCCTTTTTATTTATTATTTTGAGTTCGTCACTCAGGCTAGCCTTGAACCTGTGATCCTCCTGCCTTAGCCTCCTGAGTCACTGGGATAACAGGTGCGTACCACCATGCCTGGCTCAATCTTCTCTTTCTTGAATAAGTTGTTTTTATTTTTTTTATTAGTGAATATATTATATATTTATAGATGTTCATAGATTCTTTCTTGACCTCAGCTGCACAATCCTCTTTTTCCTATTAACATTTTAGATTTTTCAACCATGAATTCTCCTTCTAACAATATTTTTAAGAATTTTCAAGACTGGGGACTGATCATGACATTTCATATCTTTAAGTCAAAAACCTGCCCACTATTTCCAAACAGTTATCCTTTGGTTTTGTAAATGAGGTGGCCTGCCCTAAGCTGTAGTCACTCAACCTACCAAAAGTGATTTCGCTGTATTTATTCAATTCCCTAATTAAATATAAACAATGGCACTTCCTGGGTTTGAAATGTCTATTTAAAGAGAGAGCTTTGGTTTACTTTTCTACTTACCTTGCTTGTACTGGAAAAGAAGGGTGGAGGATTAAGGTCTTCAGATTGTAAGCTTTCAATTATTGGAGGGACTGGGGCGGAGAAGATGATTGATTAACTGGTAATTTTAGGAAAATTGTTTCTAGCCCAAATTATTCAGATAATTGCTTCAGTTCCCTTTGTAGACCAAGTCACAGAGCATTGGATTCAGGTCGACAAAACTGATTCTCTCTAAAGAACTAATAGGACTAGAAATTTCTTAACAGTTTTAAAAAACTTGATACCTGTCCCCATGTAAACTGCAGACCCATTATCCATTTAGTCATTTAAGGCTTTCTCAATTGTTGCTGGTCACTCCTCTCATTGACATCTCATTGGCTGCAGGGGTCTGAATGGGTCAGGCTGGCTGCAGCCTAGTGATCACAGCAGTGAGGAAGGGGACAGGCCATGTGAGCGCAGGCGCACAGGTATCCAGGAGGGCCAGCAAGGCAAGGCGGCAGCAACCCTGGATGTGGCCAAGTGTTGTTCAGATTTGCTTCTCGCCTCCTTATTTGGAGACTGGAGATATATTTTTAAAGTCTAAAATCCTATTAGCAAACCTGTCTTGGGGTTTAAAAGGAAAAAAAAAAAAGTTACCCTGTTTGGTTCTGAACCTTTGGTTGTTAGTGATAATTGACTCATTTATATGTGTTAGTTATGCATTTGTCAAAGCATGACTCCTGACAGCTTAGTTATGATAAATTAAACACGATGCTCACATAAATTCTGCACTGCTTTTATCCCTATGTTAGGACCCTGCCTGATGTTTTTGTCACCTCTATAAATGTGCAGTTGGCTTTGTAGCAATTTCATTATCAGCCCTTTCCCCTATGGCTAAAGCTATTTGCATAACAAGTTTATCTGGTTCAAGTACCAGCCAGACTTCTGCTTCGTCTGGGGGCTCCATTCAGAAGTGGCCTTTTGATAAGATAACAATAATTTTCATTTGTAAACTCCAACTTGGTCCCAATTGCCCACCTTCCCCCAACCCCTTTGTTAACTTCAAACTAATTTTAGGCCTTTGGACTAAACTATAATCATTGGTCCAAAGGCAATGTGAGCTATACTCTGTTTGCCTCTGAAACTTTTGGGATTTTATTGAGAATTAGATTTAGGACTTCATCATCAATGGTTTTTGAGCTGATTATGGAGACAGTAAAGATGGATTTCCCTTGGTCAAGGACAAATCCACCAAGAGCATCACTCCAGCTCAGGTTTGGATTTAACGATGACACTATATGATCATTCACACATAAACTGCTTTCTTGGGGTGACTCATTTGGGCAGTGTAGAGGAGACAAAGTGGTATCTTTTCCTCACCCGTTGCAAGGTTCATGACTGATACCCCTATAACAAAAGACAGATTAATAAGAGAAAAGTATAACAAATTTATTTATTGTAAGTTGGGTGACAAGGGAGCCTTCAGAAATGAAGGCCCAAGGACTTGGAGGGGGGAACCTGTGTTTTCAGGTCAGGTTTGATGAAGATTGGACAATAGCGCAGAGGTATGACTAACAAAAAGCCTAATGAACTGGGGGGAACTTGGCACAACCTGCCTGTTCAGATGTCTCTGGACCTCACAGTTAAGATTAAAGGCACGACTTATGTCACATGAGGCTCTTCCTCAAACATCAGGTGGGAGGTCAGAGGGGTCTGCCTGCCTCTGCAGATTTCTTGATTTCCTTCATCTTGAAGTACTCAGAGGAGCCCTGTGTTGGGGTAGTGTTCCCTGTGCTCCGTCTGTGGCTGGTGCATAGGTCTCTCTGTCCCAGAGGGAGTTATGTGAGTGCTGCAGTTATTCACAAGATGTTGGGGCAGGCGTTCCTGTCCCTCCAGGTGACAACCACATGGGCCTAGGCCTTGTGCTGAATGTTAACCCAATGAGACCACTCTGAGCTGCAAACTTATGACATTTGCATGTGTTATTCCTTAAAAACCCAAACCCAGCTCAGGCTGGAACACTCGGGTTCTCTGTAGGACTGGTATGCCATTTGGGGCGACTATTTCTTTGACAAGGATTGTATTTCCCTGAAGGCAACACTCCTCAGCTCCGCTCCCCACTCTGTGTTTCAAGGCTGCTTGATGCCACGTGGGTCTATAAGGTCAGCAAACAACGGATTTGCACCGGTAAAAAAATCCTAACCCAGTCATTTATGAAGTCCCACAAATATTCTTGGCTTTTACGTCCTTCTGGGTTCTCAGGAGGCCATGCAAAGGGT